CGATATTTCTGCTTGGATTTTGTTGATTTTTGAGAATGTTGTAGCTGAGACAAGTTTCCACGAGATTTATGTAGACTATTTAACATTATCATGACGTTATCATAGTCAAAAATTCAATCATAGGTGACATGTCAATTATCATATATAACAATCCTCAATCGGATACCTGAAGGGGGCGCTATACCACTTTCAATCATGGTCATCTGGAAGGCATTGTTCTCAATTGCATCTCTCTCTCCTCTCTCTTGCTCTTTACTTCTCCTCTCATGTTCTGCCCCTCTCCTTTTTTTGGTCTGTCTCTGCATCTATCTATCTCTCTTCTCTTTCACCCTCTCCCTCTCTCTCTCTCTTGCCTTGCGTCCCCCTTATTCTCTTGGTCTGTCTCCCTCTTGCCCTACAGTTGAAACTTGACTCATGGATAGACCATAATGGGAGTAGTAAACGAAATATGAAATCGTGAAAATGCGTTCTTCATTATGTTACACATGAGCATACGTATCACCTAATTCGTCAAAGTGACGAATTAAAGTCTAGTTTTTTTTTATTATTATTCTTCCTCGAATTTGTTCGCAGGATATCTCAAGACTGAATAAAGCTATTATCATGAAACTTGTAATGATGATAGATTTTAGTCTAACTTAGAACTGCGTGACTTTTCAGAGAGTCAAGGTTATCGTGACGTCATCCAGGCGCCATTTTGTGAAAATCAACTTATGATCATATCTTCCTTCATAACGGAAAGTAATTTTTCATTCATATTTATCATGATCAAGGTCAATATCTGTCCGGTTAATTTCAGGTCAATAAATGCGCGCAAAAATGCGCGTACGCATTTGTGCGCGCGTTAACGTGCGCATAAAATTTTAAATTGCTCAAAATCGTCTGAAATTTTTTTTGCATACGTTTTAGGCCAATATAACCATTTCATAAAAAATCGCGCAAAACACGCATTTTTGGACGTTTTCGTTCGTCACGGCCGATCGAAAAATAATTACCCCTCAATTTGTTTTGACAGGATATTCCTCTTATTTTTCTGAACATTTTGATACCATGTTCATCTCTTTATCACTATTAATAACGGAATGAGCGTCCGTTGAAGCAAAATATCCGTGCGTGCGAGCTCATGTATTATATAGCATATATGGGCAAAAAAACATGCCTTTAAAAAGTACATCGGGATGAATAAGGACTGCCATTTTTTTCATATTTAGATAGAGTATGAGTCGGAGATATGATTTCATGTCTCATTTGGCCATTAATTATATTTTTGCATAATCATATTGACCTTGGAACTCAAAATACGAATTTGCATATTATGACGTCAACATATTTACGGAAAATGATTGTATCTCTGCAAATATTGATCAATTTTCTTTTAAATTTTGATATGTTGTAGCTGAGACAATTCTGCACAAGATTATTACCAATATTTATTCATTTTCATGACGTCATTATATTGTTGCTTAATATGCGTCTTATGCCTTTGGGAGGTGATTGATACTACATTCCAGTCTAGACTTGTTCATTATGTTGCGTATGTAGTGCGTCGAAATATCAGTTCAATGATTGGTAGGCTCTGCATCAGGTGAAAATTAGAGCTTGTTTAGTAAATTAATAGTTTAATCATATAACAATTTTTCTATCGAATACCTGAAGGGGGCGCTATACCACTTTTAATCATGGCCATCGTCATTTAAAAAAAAAAAAAAAATCGTCATCATCAATATCGTCATTATCGTATTTATGAATATTATCTTTAGATCATCATCGGCACACTTTCATGATACAAAAATAGCTACGTATCACCTAATTCGTCAAAGTTACGAATTAAAGTCTAGTTATAATAATCATTGCATCATGAGCTAAATCCAGAATTTTGTTTCAGAATCTGGACAAAGTTACCGGATCCCTTTAATGCACTATTTTTAATATTTAAATTGTTTGTATCTTTTTTTTTTTTTTTTACAAAGTACGTTCTTTTTTTCTTTTCATGTTAGTATGTTTGAATGTATGTCAGAGGAACAGGATCAATTGTATACTGTTAACTGTAACTTTCAGCAGCCAGTATTCATGTATTTATAATTTAATCTGTATATATACACTGATGCATTGGGAAATATGAATACTATTGAATGTATTTATGAATCCGTTAGCTGATATTGATCCAGATTCAAATTTATATCATTTATTGAATACAAATTCTTGCTCTTACACACCAAATGAGTTTGACATAAAGTTTCATAAACATCATGGTCTCAGAATATTACATGTCAATGCTCGTAGCCTTCAGAAAATTTTCGAAAGAATTTCTGAATTTATATCATCAATTCAAATTTCATTTTCAATTATTGCAGTGCCTGAAACGTGGATTACTGATGTACCACTTTTACCCTTTGGGCTAGAAGGTTATACATTTTTGAATTCCAATAGACATTTTGGTCGAGGAGGAGCTGTAGCTTTTTTTGTATCAAATCAGTTGAAATATCGAGTAAGAAATGATCATATTATTTGTAATGAGAATGAGATAAATGAATATGAATATATATTTATTTATATCATAAATCATTGTCACACCAAAACTACAGTTGGTGTTATATACAGAAAGCCAAGTGGTAATATTAATGATTTATTAAATTGTTATGATAATATGTTATGTAAGCTCAAATGTGAACAATCAAACTTATACATTTGGGGATTTTAAAATTGATATCCTTAAACTTTTAAGTAGTTCTGATGCTGCCAATGTTTTAAGTATCAATTCTTCTTCTGGCCTCGTACCACTCATAACAAATCCTACTCGTATTATTGTAAATACTGCTCCCTTTAATAATTGATAATATATTTACCAATTTTATCAATTCTACAGTTGATGGTGGAAGTTTGTGTGTGGACATTTCTGACCACCTGCCTATATTTCATCTTTCTCAAATTGAATTAATTCTTCTCATGAATTAATGATTAATATTTCAAAAGTGATATACAATGTTGCATTGCACCATTTTTAGGCCTTATAGATGAATAATGACAATGAAGTCTATATATTGTACATATTATGCTAATTATGCTATTTAAAACGATCGTATTACTTAAAAATAAAAATTGGTGTCATAAATGAATTCCTTGTCATAGAAAACTGTTGAAAAGTCGTATTATCCATGCTTTCAGGCTTCTTGGATCGAGATTAGCAACATTATTACATATTGCAAATATGCTAATTAGATGATAATGCTAATATGACTATTATCGGCGTGTTTCTATCTAAAGCCATTATCCGCCATTATCCGGTTAATGGTCGGTAAGGGAAAAAGTTTTCCTAATAGAAACACACTTTCTCTGGCATTATCCGGATAATGCCGGAGAGAGCTTTTGCGCGTTCACCGGCAAAATTATCCTTCTTTTAGAAGGATAATGCAGGGGAGGCTAACCGGATAACGTAGATAGAAACACACCCCGTTCCGATTGAGTGCTCATGCCGGTGAGAAACCGGAAATAGGAGTGATCACGTGATCGGAAAATTTTACCCCGACACGCGCGACACTACAATCCCGGGTTGACCTAGCAGTCCCACAATACCTTGCGGTGACCTGTTTAGCCAGAGTTCGATGAACTTTTTCACCGCCTTTTTTCTGGCTAGATCGGAGCGGTGTATTTTATCCTGGTAATGCGCGTAGATATTAACTGCTCTTCCCTGGCATTATACGCTTATTTCCTCAACCGGATAATTCAGTATAACTAATAGAAACACGCTGTATTAAAAAAGTTGCCCAAGGTTGCCAAGCTGGCAACCAAGCTGAATTTACTTCAATACCCATCTAGAAAACAAATCAACAAAAAAACTTTGTACTTAACAACTTTTCCAGGTCTGAAAAACTTCTACAGGATTTATTCATGATGTAAACGAAATTCACCTTCCATAGGCATAACACGCAGATTAACAACATTCTGGCATGTCGCCTTTAATTGCAATTTTCTCTATGATGACGTCATCAAAATGAAAATTTTGGAAGTAAATCTTATAGAGAATTGTCTTAGCTACCCCATAGCAATATTTGGAAGAAAATCAATCAATATTTACAGAGATACAATCAATTGTCAATAAATATGCTGACGTCATAATATGCAAATTCGTATTTTTTAGTTCCAAGGCCATTATGATGATGTCACGATATACTTAATTGCCAAATGAGACATGAAATTACATCTCCGACTCAAACTTTATCGAGATATAAATAAAATGGGGGGTCCCCGTGCATCCTAAAGAGCCCCCCCCCCCTGGCGCTCAAATGTGCAATTTTTCAAATTTTCGAGGGCCAAACAAAAAAAATAATAGCGCTCATCCCGAGCTACATGAACCAACTTAAATTTAGCCTCGGTGAGGCTGGCCTGGATGGACGTGTCGGATCAAATGTAGTGGAAATACGTAACTACACAACCCTGTATTTCCGAATATCTCTCGTTTACTTACACTTATAAGAAGGCAATTATGTACTAGTTAGTAAAACAACACTTCTGCTAATTTCATTAAATTATCAAATATATAACCTTCGGTTTTCCTTCATTTGGCAGTACCTGTATCGCCGATGCACTATTGCTGCAGCGCATGCGCATATGCACTCACATCAGAAAAATATATTGACCAATCAGAGCTCGTCTAACTAAAATAGGGTGTAAAATTACACCCCTCAAATGACTATTCTGTACACCCTTGAGCATTTCCGTGTTTTACTCCGTAAAAGGTGTAATAGGGGGCGCCCTATTTTTCCAATTTCGTTTTACTCCCCAAGAACACCTTTTATTTCTGTGTGTGTAGGGGACTTGGAACTTGTCAAGGGGGGTGTTTCATCAACTAAAATTGATTTCGATTTTAAAAATCAATTTTAAGGCCGAATCAGTTTTAGCTTAAAACCGATACATGTGAGCTGTTTCATCAAATCGATTTTAAGCTAACATAGATTTTTAGGTGTCTGCAATCAAGGCTAGTCAATTTGGGGAAAATCGATCACAAAATGGCCTTGCTTAACTACAGTGAGAGTCCTTGAAAAGTAAGTAAAATCTGTTTTTCTTTGAAAATATCATTTCTGTTGATAACAAATCTGTTATTTAGGAAGAAGAAAAGTGTTCCTCTCATTATTATGCAATTTCATTTTTGTGTAACTGAACGAAACTTAAATAAAATCAATTTATATCACTCTCCAAGTGAACGAATTGCACCGGTTCAACCATTTCAGTCCCATTCATATAAATTCATGCAGGTTCAATAATAATTACCTAACGACGTTTATTATTCGGTTAGGACAGACAGGTACAAACTCATTAGTCTAGTTTATTCTTGCAGTAGTATTGTGGTTTTACTAGTTATGCTACTAGTTGTAGATTTGGGCTTAGAATCAAGATCTAGGCCTAGATCTAGGCCTAGGCCCTAGATAGGCCTAGAAGTCTATAGATCTAGACCCTAGACTAAAGGCTAGAGGTCTATCCCTTATTTATTTTAGCATTGTCTTGTTTTTGTTAATAAAGAGTCTAGAGACTAGTCTAGTCTAGGTCTAGATTTTCTAGACTCTAGATCTAGACTAGTCTAGTCTATAGATCTAGAGCTAGGTCTAGATCTAGGCCTAGGGTCTAATTATAAATGATAGATCTAAACTGTAGGTCTAGATCTATTAGGCCTAGGGCTAGGCCTAGGGCCTAATTATTAAAATTCAATAGGTCTAGACTAGGATTATTGTTTTGAAGGTAAAATTTTATGAAAGAAAATTAGACTCTACGTCTCTAGATCTAGATCTAGAGGTCCTAGAGTGTTACTGTCAGACCCAGGTCTAGATCTACTCTAGATGTAGATTGAGTCTAGAGTCTAGGTCTAGATCTACATGATACTTGATAGATCTAGATCTAGGGTAGATGTAGACCTGTAAGTGAGGTGGGGGGGGGGGGGGGTAAAGAGCGCATTTATTTTGTTTTAGGTCCCGAATATTTGAAAATCACGTCCCTAACACAGTCCAACTCAAAGCTCTAGACTATACTAGAATTTTTTTTCTTTTTTTTTAATTTCAGAGTGGGACTAAAAGATGGAGTGGACCACAAGTCGTATCCACCAAATAGACCTTGGCTTTAGTCCAAGACTCAAAAGTTCTCTTCTGCCGTGTCTCTACATGCAGTCTTGGACTTCTCATTCTTCCTTGGCCTCAGGCTCGAGGAAAGGGTTTGGATATGCAGAATGTACTCAAGCTCAATGTCTAGGTGTACAGCTATAGATCCTACTGTGCTAAGCGGCCTTGTGGAGTGATCTTCTTACTAGTAAAATTTGCACACCAATAATAAAACAAAGGTAAGTTTTTTTTTTTTTGTGGTTCTTCTAGACCTATGTATAAATAGATTACTTATTTGTTGTTGAGTGTGTAAATCTTGATTTTCATTAAATTTTCTATGTACAATCGCAAACTGATAAATCCATGTGAGGGGGAAGTCAACTATGACATGTCTAAATCATAGATAAATTACTTCATCAGCCAGCCTGATTAATATTGTACAAATAATAGGGCAGCAATTAATGAATAAAGAGGTGATTGAACAAACTGTAATGAGAATATATGTATGATGAAAGCTGCTCTGTTTGTTTTATACCTCTTTGCCTTCTACTCACGACAGGGGAATGTTCAATGAATCTGTGTACAACAGTGTTTGGTTCAAGAGCAGGGTATCCGAGATCAAGATTAGACTCCATAGTCAATCTTCCAAATGTCTAAAACTTACAATTTGGTTGGTAACAATGTCTTGGACCGAATACATGTAAATTACTTTTGTAATTACTGATAAAAATGTACTTATGTTCTTTTGAACACATTTGATACAGTGACAATTACTTTTCCGAAAAATAGATGTGCTCTCTTCATAACAAATATATGTATCTCTGTTTTAAATCCTAGGTTGCAAAATAAAGAGCTATGGCATCTGCATGTACTGCTAGTTCATGACAAATGAACATTTATTGTCCATCTCTTCAAATTGAAAAGGTAAGCAGTATCAATTACCAAAATTGATCTATCATTTTTCATAATCCTTGTAAGAAGTCTAATACCCATCTTACCCATTCTGTTAGATAAAACATACACAAATGGTAATGAAAGGATATTTTTGTTTTATCCAAAGCAAACAATTCATCATTTATCTTCTGTAACTACTTGTTATTCTCCTACTTTATTTATTTAGCAATTAAAGTATTTGAAATAATCGTAAATACAACAGTTGAAGATTGATTGAAAAGTTGTACTAGTATTTAGTAATTGATTCATTTATTACATAACTTTCAATTCCTATTCTAGACTGCAGAGCAACGTTATGCTTCTTATGAAACATCAGCCAGCCTACAGATAGAAGCTCCCTTTTCCAGCTTTAAGCAAGAGGGGAACCGCAATCACGAGATACAGATCTTGGTATCATGGACTGGTCACTCTTTACAACCAACACTACTTGTAAAATAAGATTTACAAATTAATTCCTATAAGCTATTAAAAATGCTCTAGTCAAGGTACTAAAATTTTGCCATCGAGTTTGAGGTTTTGGGTTTGATAAAATGTTAACATAAAATATTTTAAAAGAAGTAAACGTTTTAATGATACTTCCAAGATTTCCTATATTTTAAACAGAATTTTAGAATCTTGCAGGAGAAAAGAGAAGAAATAAAAAGCTATTATTCTGTCTTGGAGGTTATTGTTACCAGACTCACATTACATAGATAATTGTGTTCATGGCAATAAATCTTAAAATATCAAATTGGAATTTCTTAATTAGCAATTCATCTGAGCAGCAGTTTGATGACCTATTTGGAACTCTTCCTAGAGGCACTTCTTGCATGACTATGTATCGATAATTACCTGTTGGTGCTTAAAGTGATATTGTAGCAATTGCACAACAACAAATACAAAATAAACAACAGAACATTGTGATTGAGTGAAAACAGATTTTTCCTGCAGGAAATATATTAACTCTGACTTATGTTGTCCTTAGAATTTTTTGTCAAAGCTTATAGAAAAAAATTGATGATTAATTTCATATAGACAAACTATTGCATCAAGAAACCACATTCTCACCGACTGCATGACCTTACATGACAATGTATATCATCCTTAGATTAACAACCGTATGAGCAGGCGCGTACGCAGGGGGGGGGGGGGTGTTTGAGGGGTTAACCCCCCCCTTTGGTATTTCTATGTGTATAAACCCCCCTAAAAAAAAAAAAAAAAAAAAAAAAAAAACCTTTGTTGTTTTTTTTTTTTTTAATAATAAAATAAAAAAATATAAAAAAAATATTCCCATGGCTGACCTAAAAAAGGTGACCTTACCCCCCCCCCCAACGTAACAAAATGTCAAATTTACAAATTTCGAGACCAAAAAAAAAATGTCCTCTTACCCCCCCCCCCCCCCCCCCCCCCTGCTTATTCAGCGGCTGCCTGAGTCGATGCGAAATTTTCGGGCTGATTTAAAAATGTTAACCCCCCCCCCCCTTGAAAAAATCCTGCGTACGCGCCTGCATATGAGTAACAGAAATATTTGTGACAAGTATTACTCTTTTAATCTCCATAAAGGTAACTCGAATAGAGAGTGGCAGATATCAGCTGCAGTAGTTTTAACAACTGGCTGATACTTTCATAGGAGCACTTTTATTTGTGTCATTTAAAATATTGTAGTTGTATCCCTTGAATGTGTTTGCTATGCTCATCATTTACAAATTCATTCATTAAAGCATAAACATATTGATTATACTTTAAAATCTGTGTTAATTTTATTTTGTATGTATTTTTTGTCTTTTAAGAAGATAAAAAGGGGGGGGGGGTGAATAGATGAGATTGTACGCTAGCGCATGGTGATAATAATTACATGATGATAAAGGGCAATGTTGTGATTCAAGAATGGTGTGTTTGTATGCTGGTGAGTTATTGTTATAAGTTGGTGTTTACATGTATTTATTCATTTTTGTTCTTTATTCTTTTTTTGTGGGGGAAGGGGGGGGGGGTGTTCATGAAGAAACAAAATTATGGCAAGCAAAGCGTTGTGATGGGAGTGTCGTTTTATGTTAATGAGAGAGAGAGAGAGAGAATATGAACGAAATAAGGACACATAATTGTAAGCGCGTATGGTAAAACAAAATATAGAAAAAGGGGCACATAACAAAATGGAAAAGGGTCACTTCAAAGAAGAAAACATAAAAATTTATTAGAAATAACAAGAGGAACTTTAAAACAAAGTGAAACGGGACAAACTACATGAAGGAAAAGTGCACTTGTAATAAACAAAAAGGGATGTTAATCAGATGTAAAAGGGGCACTTAAACCCTATCTAGCATGGGTTATTTTGAAACTGCATAGCCTGGGGGGGGGGGGGGGGTCCGGGCCCCCTCCCCTGGAGAAAAAAACGTATAAGAACACATTAACTGTACCTTTTTTTGGGAGATGGGTTCCCTCCCCTGGCGCTCAAGGGGGGGGGGGGGTGGGGGGGGGGGGGGGGGGGGGGAGGGGGTGCGATTTTTCAAATTTTCGAGGCCCCCCCCAATAATTTTGTTTTTATTGTTCACTACCCCCCCCCCCCCCCCCCACTGAGCGAATTATCGGCCGACTATTTCGCTGCTAAATATTGTCTCACGAATTGGGCCCCCTCCCGTCCCGCAGGCTGGATAAGCCCCCCCACCCCCCCCCAGGCTAAATAGGGTTAAGGGGGAAACGGGCCGCCCATGTATTTTTGAAGAAAAAAATTGGCCATTGTGCTCCCCCCCCCTCCAGAGTGCCACATTTGGTATTGATAATGCCTAACTATGATGATTTTTTTTAAAAATGGTTATGAACAAAGATTTGTTCCCTCTAGAACATAATTCTTCATTTTCAGATGTATGTTCAAATTGAAGCTAGCCAACACTTGCGCCTTTGAAACCAATGAATGCTGAACATAGCATATCAATAATGCAATGAATAAGGATAAAATTGATTTAAAATTGATATGGATCACACTCTAACTTAAAATCGATTTTAAGGCCAAAATCGATTTTATTTATTTAGTGAAACTGCTGCTAAAATCGAAATCAATTTTAGGCCCTTAAAATCGATCAAATCGATTTTAGATCGATTTTAGGGCTTTAGTGAAACACCCCCTGGATTCCTACGTGTAGATGGCTCAGTTGTTGGAATGAGGTTTACGTCAGGAATGTCAATTAGTCTGTGGATTATGTAGTAGACCATATATACTCTCTGTTGTGCCCTTCTTTCCTGAATAGTGGTCCACTGGAGTTGCTTTAGCATATCAGTTACGCTGCTTGTACGCCTAAGGTCTGTCAAGGCAAAGCGGGCATAGCGACGTTGTATAATTTCTAGTCTTGTGATGTTCTTCTGGGTAAATGGATCCCATACCACAGCAGCATACTCCAGTACTGGAAGGACAAGTGTTTTGTAGCACAACACTTTTGTCCTGAGAAGGTTGTCTCTGGTATTCCTCTGCAGGAAGCTGCTAACATAATTTGCCGACTTGGCATCGTTTTGTTTACATCGTTGGGACGCAATTCGAACATGAGCATTGCATTCACAGCTTCAAACAACGAGAACATAACGTCAAACTAAAGGTCTGGGGTTCCTATATTTGTTTTCCTCTGCGACAAGGTGAAACGTGTCGATTTACTTTGGCAACTTGTTAGTTTCAAGGATTGTCGTACTAAACAATTCACACAAACTTATATAAAATATTTATCCATCAGATTTAGAAAATATTAAACATAAAGATTCAATATAAGGAAATAAAGTATCCAAATTATTGTTTAAACTTGTCGACGGCATAAAATCGCAAGACGGTCAGGACGTGCATCCGCATGCGATGTGTGTATCTCTCCAGACCAGTGTTGGAGTCGGCTAGATAGCAAGTAACTGGTCCGTAAATCGCTGTTAGTTTTGTAAAACGACAGCGATGCAACAAATCCCCGAAAAAATATTCGTTGCCATTAATGTAAAAGGTTTTGTTTCTTTCCACAAGAGGTCTCTCCGGTCTCATTAATTGCAATAATTCGTCGTAATGGTGTCTTCTTCTCTGAATATCTAACAAATACGCCATTGCGAAAAATAGGTAGACCTGACTTAAGCCAGACTAGGTGTACCCCCAGGTTTAAATATGTGTACAATTTTTACAAAGTTAAACCAGACTTAAACCTAGGTTTAAGTTAAACCTGACTTCAGAAACGATATCTCCATGGTTAAACCTATGTTTAAATCTGAGAGTTAAGCGAGACTTAGACTAGACTTAAACCTACGTTTAAAGTTAAACCTGACTTCAGAATACGGCCCACAGGGTTGATCTCCCAAGTCTGGTATACAATTAAAATATCAAATTGTCCCATTTGTAGGATGTTAGTCTCCTTCCCATAACTTTATATTTGTCCAGTTATTCAGCCCAGTTATATGAAATGTTTACGTCTCTCCTACGGATTGTTTACTTCTCGCTTTCTCCATATAGTAAATATTCAATTATATTTATGCAGGAAATATACGTTTCATCGTTCTCTATTGCATCTCTGTTTCATTTCCCCTCTCTTGTTCTGCCGCTCTCCTTAAATTGCTCTGTCTCTGCATATCTCTCTCCCTCTCTTTCTTTACTCTCTCACCCTCTCCCTCTCCTTCCATTGCTCTGTCTTCCTTTGTCTCTCCCTCTCTCTCTTACTATCTCATCCTTTTAACTTTCCCGCATTTGTCTTTCGTTCTCCCTCTTTTATGTCTTTGGATGTTCCTTAATTTTCTCTAGCCCTACCCTTGTATTCTTATTTCACCCCTACCATGTTCCTTACTGTCCTGCCTTCTTCTGAAGTGCATGCATTCTGATTCTTCTTTTATCCCTCTGTCCAGCTCATTTATTTTTTACATGACTATACCACGTCTTTTTACTTCGTCTTCAGTGACGAATTCTTATCTCGTTCTATATATTTTTTTTTTATTTCTACTCCTTTTTTGTGCAGAGCTATAACTCTAAATCAGTACAGTCAATTTCTTTCTTTGGCACGGTCATAGGTCAATGTAATAAGACGTTACAGGAACATTTTCAAGGTTATCAGTTTTTCATGACGTCATCCAGGCGCTATTTTGTGAAATTTTCTGAAAATCAACTCATGATCATATCTTCAT